TTCTCGATGCACTCGGCCAACTCACAGAAAGTTTAAGTTGGGAAATTGGGACAACTAACCTAGACAACCAGACTGAATTTAGAGCTTTAGAGCTCATGTGGTGGTTAGATACATCTGACTGGACTACATTATACGATACTATAAAAATCGGAACCAGTTACTCACAAGAAACCATACAGTTCGTACGATTTAAACTGGTAAATTATTACAACCGTGTGCCAACATTTTACTTGCTTTTTTTCTAGACACTTCTTTTGGGACTTGGTGCCACAAGTTGGATCAGCTTCTTCAGTTGAATTTATTCGTGAACTAATTAAGACACAAAAAATAACAAGCTTTTTGGCAACTGGATTGTTAATAACTTTTCCGTACCACGTTAGGTATCCAAACGAAAAACTCTTAAAAGAATCCGAAATTTTATTGTATCTAGATAGAGATCTAGAAAATGAAGTGAGAAAAGTAGCGATTTTGAGCTTTGCTTCGTTGATACATAAGACGTGTGGTAAGGGAATGTGCTCAGACGATACGCAGAACAAGTACATCAAATTATTTTTAGACAAATTCATAGGTCAGTAACATGATTGTTTTTAAACAATTTTTTTTTAATATAATTACAAAATACTATGGCTTTTAACAACAAAAACGGCAACAAATAATATTTTTGTCATTCGATATTATTTGTATTATTTTGTACAATCATTTTTTATTTATATATTTATCTTATTTATCGAACAGAGAACGAAAAACATCAGCGTTTCGACTTCTGGTACAAATATATAGATTGAATGAACATTAATTGTTGCTATAAGCAAAATTGTTGGTTAGATATCAATTGATCAATTTCACTAACACAATATGTAAACATAACAGTAGTTATGGATAATATTTTAACATCCCTACCCATCAATATTAATTTCACAAATTATTGTTAGTCAATTGCATAAGCTGCAATAAGCTACAAAGTAAAAACATTAAAATATTTAGTTTTTTTTTTTAATCTGTTAAAAATCGTGATTAATTAGTATTTTAGTTAAATTATTAACCGATAAATAATCTATTCATAAATTTATCACTACTTCATTAACTATTCATGATATTTGAATATCTACGATGCAGACCATCGTATCTTATTGACAAGATTAGTTTATTAATAATATAGTAATGAAAATAATTTTTCACTGTTTTGTTGTATAAACTTACTATTAATTGTAATTACTAATTTGTATTATTACAAATTACAAATAGATCGATAACACAATTTTTATCATTTTATTTCTTTATATACGTTGATTCTAACAATTGTACGTTTTAGAATCCACTTCACACAGTCGACAAATGTTGTTCATCGAAGCGTTCAGTAACATGAAAATCGACAATATACTAGACTTTTTACAACCGATTATTACAGATCATAACCGTTCTAGGCACATCCGATTAGTCGCTATTTGGGCAGCGAAATCGGCCACTACTGCCCACCCAGATAAGGTATATTACACTATTATGTTATATCATAATATTTAATAACTAACTGATAAATAGCTCGTGCAAAACCTCGAAAGTCAAAAAATAAATACTATTTTTTTTGAACTTTATTGGTCCATTGTAGTTTTACACTCATTTTGATATCATGATAAATTGATAACTAATATTTGACAGTTATTTCATAAGATAAAATACAAAATATAAAACCTCGTATCTCTATCGAT